ACAAACAAACAAACAAACAAACAAACAAACAAACAAACAAACAAACAGTCTGCATTCACAAACAGTGCAGAGCCAATAGAACAAGGTTTTAAACAGAGTTTCAAGCCAAAGTGGAAACGAATGCTGAGTACAGTGCTAAAAACACAGAAAGGCCATAAGAAATTATATCTAATGTGAAAAGACCAAAGAAGAGTAGATGGATGGATATTAAATTCTCCACTATGGACTGAAAATATACTAATGTCCTATGAAAGTTCAAACTTTTTAAACAAAGGATGCAGAGCATGCTCCATAGAACAAGCAGTTTCAGAATCAGTTAGGCAAGCTGTGAAAATACTCTTGCAGCTAGTAAGTGGCGGGGGGGGGGAGGTCACACACAGTCAATACCGCCAGCTTATCTGAAAATGACTGGTAAGATCCCACAAAGATATGAAATTCAGTAACATTTCAGAAAGAGTCCACTTTAGAATTCATTGCTTAAAAGTGACGTTCTACAGGCAAAAACCACAGGAATCAACAGTTCAATCAATTTGTTGGCAGATGCTGTAACAAGTGTAACAAATATCATGATCCAGAGGTTGAACTGTTGGATTCCATAATGCAATTGGTGATACCCACAAAACCTATCAAGGCATACCAAAAACCTTGGGGAAAAAATGATTACAACATTGATTCACTGCTAGTGGATGGCAGGAACTCAAAGCTGGACAACAGCACCTGTAAGTATGAGTTGCAGCAAATAACACTGACTCTGTATCCAGGACACAAAAAGCCAGCAAGCAGTAGGGCAAGTGCAGGCTATCGCACTAAACGCAAAGCTGCCTGCATTCCAAGACCTGTGCAGGTCTGTTGTCCAAAAGAACACTTTTAGGTCTGACTCCAAAGATAGCCAGAGACTACAACCGGGCACATCTAATCAACAGACAGGCACAACATTTCTGCAATAGCAGCAAGGAATGCACCAGAGACATGTCTAAACGTAAACTGAAGCTCACAAGACAAACTAGAGTCAAGACCCAGAATGGAACAAATTCAAACCAGAGGATGAAAAGGCTTTCCATGTTGAGAGTTTATTGTGGATGAAGTTAGGAAACGAGAAACTTTTGACACAATCAACATAAACTTGCCCAAGAAAACTGCAAACACACACAGAAAACCAAGACTGACATGGAGCTCATGAAAATATCCAACCAGTCTGAAACGTGAAGGACCTGTATTCGGATTGTTGGAATGCGATAGTACAAGAGACAATTGTTAAATTAACTGGGCACAATGGGTATATCACAAACAGTTCACCTGGTAGACACGAGTGAACAAATCAGTGGCAGGACTACTAGCATTGTGATTATCCACAAGAACACCAAGGTATACTTATGGTGCCTGGAGACCAATAATAATCTCGTCAAGTCAGACCAGCATTTGCAACAATTGTACCAGGACAGATTGTACACTGCAGGGAGTTATGTATATACCAAAGAAGCACTCTACGATCAAAGTATGTCCAGCCCAGAGACATCTAACCATTCCTTGAAGAGATGCCCTTACTACTTTCAGAACACCATTTCGAAGATATTGCTTCCACAGTCTACGTTTTGGTTGTCAGTCAAGATCTGTTCAAGCAACATATGGACAGAATTTTAGAAAAATGTGTCTGGATGCGTTTGCACTTCTGATGGCTTTGCCATTACCGCAATATCAAAGAAGAGAATGGCTGCAACTTTCACTCACTGATGGCAATAGCACACTGTAAATTCCATCAGCAAGAAGTGCCAGGTTAACAAGTCAGATCAACCAGTTTCAGCTCACAGAATCTCTCGCAATCCAGATAAAGAAGCAAGACAAACGGTTATTCCACAAAACAAAGATAACTGACAGTATTGCCTTACATTCTTCTGCTTCTTGGCATCATACATTCGAAATGTTTCCGGCAAAGCAATATTTTTGAGACATAGACCGTATGCATACAGGAGGCCCATCACCATACGTTCAAGTCTTTTAACATGCGTTGTCAACATCCATTGATACAATCGAAGATACGTAACAATTCTGGAAGTCAATGCCTCGCAGATAAAGCCAGGATCATAGAGCATAAAAGACTGCAGACCAATTGCACTTGCATCTAAAAGGTGATTGCAAGAGCAACCCAATTATTCCAACATAAAGTGTGAAACATCTGGCCTAGTATTTGGTAATTATAAGATGGTACATATACCTATGTGATAAGCAATTCTGTGTGAAAACTGAGCACATACCATTGAAATAATTTGGTACAAATCACAAAAAAAGTGCACCACCCAGATTACCACAACATTTGGTAGAAGTACAGGGATGTGACTCACCCACCTCCTGAGGCTCCAAACATAGACAGCTTCGTTGATCTTTAAGGGGCCCTATTCTCTCGCTAGTTACTCTTTTGCCCTTAATGTACTTGCAGAATCACTTAGGACTCTCCATAACCTTATCTGCCTAAGCTGTTGTAGGTCCCCTTTTCACCCTTCTGATTTCCCTTTTAAGTGTACTACTTCCTACTAGGGGAGTAGGAAAGTCAGTTAAAGGAAGCGAGGAAAAAAAAATACAAAAAAAGCAAGTCATGCAGATATATTAACTGGAAAAGAGAAAAAAACCAATAGAAAAACACTGACTGACACTGAAGTCAAAATACTAAACAATGATTGAAGTGGAGACTGTTGTATTTGATTTGCACAAAGAACGCAGGTGCTGAACTGGAACTAAGTTGAAGAGAAGCAATATCAGGTGGGATTTGTCCCTGGCAAGAATTAAAATATGTTCTTCCTGCGTACTTTTGCTGGATTTCTTGCCACCTGTCTTCATTCTGCACTCTTTTGGAAAGTTTGTTGTAGTTTTTCCACTTTTCCTCTTAAAGCAGTTAAACATTACAGGATGTTTGATCTCTACACGTTATCATCTTCTTAGCCACAAAAGCTGTGTGTGAGGGGTTACAAAAAAGATTGCAACTTGACAGAAGCTGATGTAAAGTTGTGCCGGGTTATATTTAGTTTCAAACTAGATGACAGAGATTCACTATTACTTCCTGCGCATGCTATCAAAGAGTCCAAAATTTAACAATGATTTAAAAGGCTTCAATTTCTGATTATTTGATCACTCTGAGCTGATATTTGCATAGATAGTTTTTTTTTATTAAAACAGAATTACTGGGTAGATTGAACAAAATTCCTTTTTTTACAAATAACAGATCATTTGATTATTCTGTCTTTCATAGTATGGATACATGAAGTCCTACACAAGTGATATAGAGCGAGATGAGAGACAAGAAATAAAGGAAAAATACACAGGGAAAGACAGAGTGAGAGAATGAGAGAGAGAGACTTGCTTGGCCATTTCAGAGGACAGTCAAGCACATTACTGGATGAAATGCACATTGGGGAACCAGATGGGATTCATTTTTACAACAGTCCAGCAGTTACATGATCTCAATCATTTATGGTAGCTTACCATTCCTTATTTGTTTAAGCAATTGAATTTAAAATTCCCAGCAAAAGTAGTGTAATTTGAACTCATGCTTTTGGTGCAGTAATAGCTATTATGCTACCATTCCCACAAGTATATTGTTTTGCCAATATCAGATTACCACCACAACAGCATTCACAAATTTGTCCAAAATAATGAAAATAATGGAAAATCAACTTTCTTAGAATGGGACATGCTTCAAAAATTTTCAATGTTAATAAATAAATCTTTGAAAACAATTGCAAATGACACTACTGCTGTTTATAAAAGTATTGCAGCTCTACGGGCAAGTCATTCCCAGATCGACCAACTTAATTCCACATCAACAATATTTAGACAACAAAGGGGCTCCCTTTTGGTTGGCGTGATAGCTGCTATAAATGATTTGATGAGCCTGAAATCCAATTTCCTTCAAAATTATAACATTCTTCAAAAAGGCAGCTCTCTTAAAATTCCTGAGAAGTCCCCTTAAAAGCATGTTTATAATATTATCAAGTAATAATGTATAGAAGTCTGTATCGGCTTACCAGACATTAGGGCTGCACTCTCATTAGCGTGAGATGCACACAACCTGAGGGTCACCACACCTCAGGCAAGGGGTGAGATTAAGAAGGAAAGTCCTTTGTGGTAACCTCAGCCAATATGGGAATTGGAATCATGCTGTTGGCGTCACTCTGCATTGTGAACTAGCCAACAGTGCTAAACAACCAACAATAATATCCATAAACATATAAATAGTCTGGGGAAGCAGACTATTTCGTTTCTGTCAGAATTAAGTGGTTCCATTTGCATTTATTGTTCACTTATTTCTTCTTCACTTCATAAAATAGATATTTGCCTGATCTATTCTTGTGCAGGCTTTAGTTAAATCATTACGATCTCGAAGTATTCTTACCTTTTACTGGTCTGGCACTTGAAGCCAAGAGCTAAGTATGCATCTTCCAATGCCACAACTGGATTCTCTTCAGCATCAAGTTCATGACTTAAAAAGGCATCAAAACAGACAAAATGACAAAAGTGAAAACCAGGTCTGTTAAATGGTCACTTAAAGATGAACACTTACCCAGGTTCAGGGTTGATTTCCATATATTCCAGTTAAAAAAAGGATTTGACAAGGAATCATAACTTTATATTTTAAAAGTTATGTTTTCTACAAAAAGTCCCCCATCCTTTACTTTGTGAACATTTCTGTTTTCTCATTTGTAGTAAAATCGAGAGTGTGTTATAAAGAACATGAATGACATAATATTATAGGAAAACATTTCTTCTGGGTTCAAAAATTTTCAAATTTCAAAAGAACGTAGTGAAGTTGGTAGTTAGCGCAGACAAGTGGCAGATGAAATTTAATGCCAAGGTGTAAAGTGACAGATTTTGGTATAAAGAACGAGGAAAGGCAATATAACATTAAGGATACCATTCTAAAGGGAATGCAGGAACAGAGGGATCTGAGATACAAATTATTGAAGGTGGCAGAGCAGTTTGAGAAAGCAATTAAAAGACAAACAAGATCCAGTGATTTACATTCAGAGAAAATGAATTGAAAAACAAGGAAGTCATGATGAGCCTTTACCAAGCACTGGTTCAGCCTTAACTTTAGCATTGTGTGCAATTGTTGGCATCACATTTTAATAAAGATGTGAAATCTTCAAAAAGAAATGTGAAATAAGATGGCATAGAAAAGATTTACAAAAATGCCTCCAAGGATGAGTGAATGGATTGGAGAAGTGGAGTTACTCTCCTTAAAGAGATGGGTAAGAGCAGATTTGAAACAAGTATTCAACATCACAAGAGGTCTAGACAGAGTAGATAGAGAAAAATAGTTACCGCTGGAGAATTAGTTGAGAACCAGATTAAGGGAATTGGCAAAAGAACCAACAATGATATTAGGAAAAGCCTTCTTACACAGCAAATGGTTAGGATAGGGAATCCATTGTCTGAATTTATGAACAAATACGATAAGCATTTTGAATTAAAAACTGCACAGTCATATGACAAGGAATGGGGAATGAGACATGGGACTAATTGAGTTAGTCTGAAAATAGCTGTCTCGGCGTAACTAGTTGAATTGCCTCTTTCTATGCTTTAATCATTCTTTGATTCTACAGGTGGAATTTTATTGGTGCCTCACGACCAAGTGTTGAGATCAACCAAGCCTTCAACTGCTGCCAGCATAATTTTCCAGGAGGCAGTCACCTAAATGGCAGATTCAAGGCTATGAGAGTGCCTTAACACGGAGGCATTCTTGTTTCCCTCAGAGAAGCAACACTTCAGACCAGAATGGGGAGAAACGTCAGAGCATGGAGCCTAGCTCAGATTCGTCACCAAGCTGGCAGTCTCCGCACGCAGAAATGAATTTCTCTGCTGGCAGCAAAATGAACCTAGACCAGGAAAATGCCTGCACGGGTATAAAATAACTCTAACTGGGCTCTCTGCCATCTTAATTATCTTCCTCCACTGTGCAGCAGCAGTTAGTCCTAGTCCTGCTCACTCTTGTTTATTCCTCTACCCCAACCCACCCAAAGGCCTCTGGGCCCGCCATGTTGGAGCTGAGAAGATTCAGCCTTTGATTCTACAAGCAATGATTATGTGGTTTTCAAAGGAGTAACAGGAATTGTTTAAACAATCAGTGACAAAATCTGGTAGTCTCATTAACTGATTCTATTTAACTGTAGTTGGGAGAAAAGAAGACATACTTATTATTATATTCTTAATTAATTATTATAAAGACATATTATATAGTTATGTCACCAGCCCATAACAAGGCTGGAAAGCATATTACATTGAAACATAAAATCCCTAGTGTGGATGCAGGCCATTTGGCCCATCAAATCCACACTGACCCTCCAAAGAGCATCCCACCTAGACCCACTCCCCTACCCTATAATCCAGCATTTACCATGGCTCATCCAACTAGCCTGCACATCCCTGGACATCATGAGCAATTCAGCATGGCCAATCTACCTAACCTGCACATCTTTGGACTGTGGGAGGAAAGCAGAACACTAGGAGGAAAACCATGCAGACACGGGGAGAATGTGCAAACTCTGCCTGAAGCTGGAATCGAATCTAGTCCTTGACGTTGTGAGGCAGCAGTGCTAACCGCTGAGCCACTGTGCTGGCCTCAGCAATTCTTGGCTAATCAATCCTCCCAAATAAATCACCAAATCATCAATTTATTAAAATGTCAGCATTTGTCTATAATTGCAGACTTACTGTTAAGGACTCTATCATCACGAGTACAAGACAGGCTGTTACATTTATAACACTGAATCACTACACCATGCTGTACAACAGCTGCATTGTTCTGAGATATGTTGCTTCTCATCATTCCTGTACTGACTGAATAACCATAAATAATTCCTGGTACATTAAGAAATTGAAGCAAATTGGAATATATTACTATATTTACCAACAAAAAGAGCCATAATGGAATCAATCTATGCATTATTTAAGTACCTACGATTTCCACAGCTATCATTTTACTCTGCCATTCCTTTCATTTACTCTGACAATGACCAGCCACAAGATGAGCAGTTACTCCACAGGACAGATATCATGAAGATGAAAAATGAAGAAATGAAGTGAAATTGAATACAAGCTCAGGATATTCACCTTCTTTTCATCTTTACTGGTCTAGGTTCAGTTGGATCACCTTCATCTTCACTGGTGTGGCTCTTTCCTGCTGTAATATCAGTTTTTAAAGCTTTGTTGGAAGTTTTACGAGGATCTGCTGGCATAGCAAATCACAAATTATCAGGATGAACAATTTTAAACAATCTTCAAAAGATAGGGTTTCTGCTTTTCAAATGATCAGCATGACACTAGCTGCACTGTTATTGACACCTGTCGGATTCGCATGGTCAAATACTTTTTGACAATAACTTAAGCTTCTTGGAACTCGTTCATTCATGAATCGAATTATGATCTGAGACATGCCTGCTATTCTTCTCAATCACTGTGCACAAGTGCCTTTTAATCTCTATTTGATTGATTAACCCGATTTAATATAAACCATATATGGCACACTGCATTATAAAATCAAAACTATTTCATATCGCACAATCTGAAAAGGAGTCTCATGCACCTTCGCTAAACCCAAATCAAGTTGTCATAAGAAGGAAAACAATTTATTCAACCTTAGTTGCTCAGCAGCTCAATTTTCTTAAAATACATTATTCTGGTACCTGTGGGTTTTCTATCTCTGCAGAAACAAATTGATCTGAAGTCATTTCAGGTGGTTAAATCAAATTCTTACCATTTTGTTTGTTAAGAGAAACAGTTCCAAAGCAGAAAGATCACTGCATACTATAGATATTACAGAACAGATGGTTGAGATAATGCAAATCAATATATCACTTCATTAATACAAGTGATAAGTGGAGAGCAATTTAAGGTAGTGGCTACCTCAAGTTATAGGTCATTGAACACAAGGATAGGCAAAATGAACAAAAAAGGTACCAATGTCCTTGAGACGTCATCTATAACTTTCTGAGAAGACTAATGTTAAAGAAACAAAAATTTGAAGCCACTTCTTAAACCAGAAATGACATTCTTTAAATATGAAGGTACTTGAAAAAATCTCACCTGCCTTTATTGCAACGGAACGTTCAACTATTCTAACACCATCACTTGAATATCATGTTAAGTTCTGTTTAGACTTAGGCTTCCAGGAATAAAAAGAAAAAGAATACCGGTATTGACCACTGCAAGAGAAGATGGGAGATTCTAAACTAAACTTCACTTGCCCATCTCGAATCTACCCATCTAATACAACTTGTTCCAAAGCAACTGTTCACATTTGCTGGAGCATCATGAGAATGTGGCAACACCAACCTGAATGAAGTGTGGAGATTCTTCCACCAGATGCAGATCGTTTGCTCTTGGTTCCATTACATGGCTCTTTCTCATCAGCAGAACTCCAGCAGATATTGCTATTCAAACCAGTTGATTGCTTGGTCTCATTTTCTGAATTGAGTCTTATATTATTGATCAAACTGACAACTTCTCCATAACTAACTTTATTACACTCAAAACTTTCTCCACATGATGCACTAGTAGATTCTGCTGGCATCAGAGTCTTGAAATGTTCTTGAGAATTATTTGCAGTACTAATGAAAGAGTCTTCCATTTCATCTACATGTGTGCAAGATAGATCTTTTCCAAGTTCACTTTCTTCAGTACAATCCACAGACCATCCTTGATCTACCCAGTACTGAAACTGCTCATAATATAGCCAATACTGATCAGCATAAAACTGTTGCCACTGATCCTTGGTGTCAAGAGAGTTCCAAGGTGCACATGAGTCTTCTGACCACTCAGGGTGTTTGCGCAACCAATTTTCCCAAAGAATACCCTCACCATACTGATTCCAATATTTATCCCAGTCTGTTTCGGACTCGAGTTCAGAAGCCGCTGCTCCATCACTTGAATGATCGACACCAGCATTTTCTACTTCAAAATCTGTTTTGTAATCAGTCAACTCCAAGTCAGTGACATCAGAAATGCCATTTAAAAACTCTTCTGGATATCCTTCACAAACTTCAGTCTGATCCTCCGTGTGCTTACAAGTTGATTTTTTCTTTTTGGCCCTTTTCTTTGAAACAATGAATATCTTTAATAGAAAACATCAAAAATAGTTTTCTCAATTAATAACAATTATGCAAATAAAGGCCTGTTTGTTATTTTTTAACATTAATACTGTACATTTTGTGCAAAGTCACAGGTGTTGATTAATTTTATGACCTCAAAAATTAAATAACTTTGTTCAGTTAGACTGCTGCATAAAATATCATTTGCCTCAGCTGTAAAGGTAGATGTGTTAATAATGAAATTCTCTAGCCTCTCACTAATTTACTATGTTCACATTATTATGTAAAAAAGTAAACAGTTTCGGTGGGAATCTTTTTTGTCACAGGTTTGAAGACAAGCAAATTAAAATTGTTTCAAAAATAAAAAAGTTGCTGAAGAAGCTCAGCAGGTCTGGCAGCATCTGTGAAGAAAAGTCAAAATTAATATTTCGGGTCTGAGGCCCTTCCTCAGAACTGATGGTAGCTAAGAAAATGTTGGTTTATATGCAGAAGGCAGGGTGGGGGGAGATGGGGAAAAGGAATAAATGATTGGGCTCTATCCCCACCTAAGAGAGAGAAGAGCAGTTGGATAGACAGAGGAGTTGAAAACAATCTGGCTAGGAGGTGAACAGCTGTTAATGGGGACTGTTAGTGACTACCAATAGGTAGTCAGTAATGGCAGACGATGTGTCAACAAGACCTGGTGTGTGGGGCAGGGGGCTAGGATGTGGGAGAGTTCAGGTCCTAACATTATTGAACTCGATATTAATCCAGAGAGCTGTAGGGTCCCCAAGCTGGAATGAGCTGTTGTTCTTCCAGCTTGCGTTGTGCTTCGCTGGAACAATGCAGCAAGCCTGAGACAGAGATGTTGGCTAGAGAACAGGGTGGTGTGTTAAAGTGGCAGGCAACTGGAAGCTCAGGGGTTCCCCTTGTTCTTACCTACCATCCCACCACTATCCATGTCCAGAAGATCATTGTTATCACCTAGTCTGCCATTACACACTACCTATTGTTAGTCACTAACAGAACCCATTAACAGCTTTTCACCCTCCTAGATTGTTTTCAACTCCTCTGTCTATCCAACTGCTCCTCTCTCTCTTTGGGCTCTATATAAAACGACATTTTTCCTAGCTACCATCTGTCACTGGACCAGAAACGTTAACTCTGATTTCTTTTCACAGATGCTTCCAGGCCTGCTGAGCTTCTCTAGCAACTTCCATTTTTGTTCTTTATTTACAGGATCCGCAGTTCTTTCGGTTTTAATTAAAATCGTTTCTCGGAAAGATAACGGAGCAAATTATCTGTGCCCATTGTTCAAAGTTGTACATGGCCTTTCACTACAGTTCAATATTCTGGATTGATTTCTGTGGAAGAAAATTATTTTGGCAATTTAAAGGTAAAACCTGCAGAAGTTCTCTCATACAAATTTTGGAGATAAATTATAACAGATTGGTCCTTACCACTGGTTGCCTATGGGTTGAAGGCCTTCCAAACTGGAGAGGTAATCCCATTTTTGCCATCAGTTCTGCCTCACTATCCATTCCACTTTCTTCCTGAGCCTGTACAGTATTAAGAGTCAGCTCATCAACATTCAAGTCTTCTTCACTCTTGTCTTCTTCTTCTTGGATATCTATAAATAGCAATTAGCAGTTACAATATTACACGTTAGTATCTTTCAATATTCCAAAGTCTCTACATTCATTTCAATTAAGGATGAAATCCACAGGAGGGTAAATGCATGTAGGAAACAAATAATACTGAATTTGGTGGCCTGGATTTTCAGTGAGCAAAGAGAAGTTGCTTGCTGACCTTGAAGAAAGCTCCCCACAATGTTCACTGACCTTGTTTTTTACCTCCAGAGGCAGTTTAAAAGTAATGTCAAACAAAGTGGATTGTTACAGAAATAGTAGGAACTGCCGATGCTGGAGAATCTGAGATAACAAGGTGTAGAGCTGGATGAACACAGCAGGCCAAGCAGCATTTCAGGTCGAGACCCTTCTTCAGAGAAAGTAAAACTTTTTTTCTCTGAAGAAGGGTCTCGACCTGAAACGTCAGCTTTCCTGCTGTGTTCATCCAGCTCTACACCTTGTTATCTCAAATAAAGTGGACTTTCTTTTCCTGCACTGATGTCAGTTAGGTGTCTTGCTGAAAAACTTCAAACTGATGTACTCTCACACAGAAAATCAGGAAGTTAAAAGCACTTAAAATCTGTTTGCTTAATTTACTCTTTCAGGTAGTGAGATAAATGTAAAACAGCATTAAGACAGAAACTGAAATAAAAAAAAATTAGCAGCCACTAAAATGTGGAATTTTTAATAACAAACATAAAATTAACTTTTTCAGGACGAAAATGATTTTTAGCTATTACTATGATGTTCATACACCAAAAAAAACAAAGTCACATCATATTTAACAAAGTCCAACTTTTCTAGTTAATAACGAGACGAGAACCAAACAGCTGGAATAGAAAACTCCATTCTAAATGTTTTTAAATACATCACCTTGTGATTCCCATAAACCAATCACATTGCAAGCAGTTGACAAATATTCCAAATGAATAATGTGGCCATGTGAAAATCATATTTTCTGATCAACTTGTTCACAAGTGTTATTACTCACTTTTCGAAAAAGAGGGACTTGAACCCAAGCCTCCTCGCTGTTTTGATTGTATGTGCACCAGATATAGATGGAGAACAGACAACTTAAATCATGGTCCATAAGTGAAAATTTAACACCTTATCTTCTAAGTGTTCTGCTCCCAATTTGTGTACCATGCGTTTGTGTACTTCTTCCACTTCCCTATTCCAGTCAGGCTAGTGGCATGTATGTAGTGGTTAATGTTTAAGCTTATTCTAACTGCTGTTACAAAAAAGTAATAAAAATCTCGAGAGGGGATTTGCTGAAAGTAAAAACTGCTGAAACTGAGCTAACACATCAACCTGAAAAGCTTAATTATATGAAACTCAAAAATATTAAAGATAATTAATTAACTACAATACATTGCCCAAATTGAAAACAATAGTGCAACGGTCATGACATTGGTCCAACAGAAGATTTAAGGCGGCTATGCACTGGATAATGCTTAGTTTACTTCTGCATTACCACTACACAATATACTTTTTTTTTAAATGACACGCAGCTAACATTTAAACTCAAACTCTGAGGAGTATCAGGGAACTTTGGAACAGGATACAAAACAAAAAGAACTATGTAAAGTAAAAGCAAAGTAAAGGCATCTGAGAAGCAACTTTCAACACAACCAAATATCTGATACATACCTCCACTATCTTCATAGTCATAACACGCCCTCGTTAATCCCATCCGATAAAGTTTCCGATCACTGCAATAAATGCAATGTGAGCCAACATCACACTTAAAAAAAGTATAGAGTACAGAAATATCCTGATAAATAGTTTAAGCATGTCATTTCTAATTTAGATATTATCACTGTTCTTGCTTGTGTGCACATTTTGTAATTGATCCTGTGCAGTGACATTACAAGCAGCAAAAGGGTACAACTAGAAAAAAAATCATGATATATTTGAAGATAATGCTTTGAAAATAATAATCTGATTAGAGGAATAAAATTAATGAAAATGTTGATAGATAATGATGCTAAAAATAGTTTTGTTCAATGCTTTACCAATATGCCCCTCAATCTCTGAGCCTAGGCAAAGAATACAACCCACAGTTATACACAAATCAGTTAGTTCAGCATCACTGAAGCACTGTTTTATTTTATTCATTCATGGGACGAGGGCATTGCTGGCTCGGCAACAATTATTGCCCATGCCTAATTGCCCAGAGGGCAGTTAGAGTCAACCACACTGCTGTGGGTCTGGAGTCACATGTAGGCCAGACAAGGTAAGGATGGCAGTTTCCTTCCCTACAGGGGATTAGTGATCCAGATGGGTTTTTCTGACAATTGACAACAGATACATGGTCATCATTAGACTCTTAGTTCCAGATATTTATTGAATTCCAATTCCACCATCTGCCATGGCAGGATTCAAACCCGGGTCCCCGGAACATTATCTGGGTCTCTGGATTAACAGTCCAGTGATAATACCCCTAGGCCATCTCCTCCCTACAGTGTAACACTGTATTGTTTTTATTGTTTTCCCAAAGTGGACATCTTATTGTATTGCCAGACCCTGTGACACAGTTTATGAAGAGCAATCTGGTTTCATTAACTTAGGTTAGGGTGAATTCAGTTGCCCTTGGAAGAGCAGGGTAGCGGCTGATATATCTGTGGAAGTATTCGGGGGATCAGCTAAGGAGTGAAAGGTCTATTAGGAACATTGTATGTACTTACATCCTGAGATGATCCGACACGTACAATTTTTTGAAAGGTGAGACCGTTATTGGACTGAAGTTGTATTATGCACATCTATTATCATAGAATCCCTACAGTGTGGAAACAGGCCATTTGGCCCAACAGGTCCACACCGCCCCTCTAAAGAGCATCTCACCCAGACCCATTCCCTTACTCTTACCTATGGCTAATCCATTTAACTTGTACATTCCTGGATACTATGGGCAAGTTAGCATGGCCAATCCACCTAACCCACACGTCTTTGGACTATGGGAAGAAACTGGAGCACCTGGCAGAAACCCATGCAGACACAGGGAGAATGTGCAAACTCCAATATAGACAGTCACCCGAGGGTGAAATCGAACCTGGATCGCTGGCGCTGCGAGGCAGTAGTGCTAACCACTGAGCCACCATGCCACCCCAAACTTAGCAATTTATACACTTCAAATATAAGCTATTATGATTTCAGAGTGCCGGTGACAACACATAAACAAGTAACAGAGCCCACCACGCTGACGCTGCCAAGTCCCATGCTGAACCCACATTTGCCCCTCAACCAGGAGTCCCTGGCTCTGCTGCCACTGCCGCCTCACCCACAACCAGAAGTCCCTACACTGGGCCTACCTTGACTGTAACCAGGAGTCCCTGACTCTGCTGTTGCCGCCTCGATGACACCAGGAGTCCTCTCTCCATGCATGTCATGCTGCCATCACTGCAGCCACCACCTCACCAGGAGTCCCCACTCTGGACCTACTGCCACCAGGAGTCCCTGGTTCTGCTGCCAGGCCAGGCCACCACAGTGCCAAGCATCCTGTTTCCACTGCAGATGTTACCTTGCCTGCACTGCTATCTTGAAGAGTCCGCTGCTGCTGCTAACTCCAATTGCTGGAGGAACTTTGCTGCAGCTGGTCCCGAAAGCCGGGAAGATGTCTTTCTTGCTGCAGCTGCCACATCTAATTGCCAGGAGAAGCTGCATCCACCGCTTCGAGTCTACCACCACTCCATGGATAGCCCACTGTCATTGCTGTGCTGATGCTGCCAACCAACCCACCACATCAGGATCCCTTTTGTCTTTTACGGACAGGATTTACAGCAAAAAAATAGCCATTTAGATACAGAACTGACTCGAAGGTGAAAGACAGAGGGGTGGTGGTGGATGGTTGCTTTTCAGACTGGAGGCCTGTGACCAGCGGTGTGCCACAAGGATCAGTGCTGGGTCCATGCTTTTCGTCTTTTATATAAATGATTTGAATGTGAACATAGCAGGTATGGTTAGTAAATGTGCAGATTACACCTAAATTGGAGGTGTAATAGACAGGGAAGAAGGTTACATCAGAGTACAACGGGACCTTGATCAAATGGACCAATGGGCCAAGGAGTGGCAGATGGAGTTTAATTTAAATAAATGTGAGGTGCTGCATTTTGGAAAGGCAAATTGGAATAGGGCTTACATACTTAATGGTAAGGTCCTGGGGAGTGTTACTGAACAAAGTGCAGGTTCATAGTTCCTTGGAAGTGGAGTCCCAAGTAGGCAGGACAGAAACGAAGGCATTTGGTATGCTTGCCTTTAATGGTCAGGGCATTGAGTTGGGATGTCATGTTGCGGCTGTACAGCACATTGGTTACGCCAGTTTTTGAATACTGCGTGCAATTCTGGTCTCCCTACTGTAGGAAGAATGTTGTGAAACTTTAAAGGGTTCAGAAAAGATTTATAAGCATTTGGCCCATTATCATTGGGCAGCACAGTGGCACAGTGGTTAGCACTGCTGCCTGACAGCACCGGGAACCCGGGTTCGATTCCAGCCTCAGGTGACTGTGGGGAGTTTGCACATTCTCCACGTGTCTGCATGGGTTTTGTCTGGGTGCTCTGGTTTGGACCAGGATTGGAGGGTTTGAGCTATAGGGAGAGCCTGAATTGGCTGGGGCTGTTTTCCCTGGTGCATCAGAGGCTGAGGGGTGACCTTACAGAGTTTTATAAAATTTTGAGGGACATGGATAGGGTGAATAGGCAAGGTCTTTTTTGGGGGCAGGGACGGGGATCCAAAACTAGACGGCATGGGTTTAAGATGCGAGGGGAAAGATTTAAAAGGGACCTAAAGGGCAACTTCTTCACAGTGTGTACGGAATGAGCTGCCAGAGGAAGTGCTGCAGGCTGGTACAATTACAACATTTAAAAGGTATCTGGAAGGGTATATTAATGGGAAGGGCTTAGAGAGATCCCATAGAATCCCTACAGTGTGGAAGCAGGCCATTAGGCCCATCAAGTCCACACTGACCCTCTGAAGAGCATCCCACCCAGACGCACTCCTTACCTTGTACCTATAACCCTGCATTTGCCACGGCTAACCCACCTAACCTACACATCCCTGGATACTATGGGCAACTTAGCATGGCCAATCCACCTAACCTGCACATCTTTGGAGCGTAGGAGGAAACTGGAGCACCCAGAGGAAACCCACGCAGACACGTGGAGAATGTGCAAACTCCACATAGTCACCCGAGACTGGAAACGAATCCGGCTTCTCAGTGCTGTGAGGCAGCAGCGCTAACCACTGTGCCTCTGTGCTGCCAGATGATAATGGGCCAAATGCTGGAAAAATGGGACTAGATTAATTTAGGATATCTGGTTGGCATGGATGCATTTGACTGGAGGGCCTGCTTCCATGCTGTAGAGCTCTATCACTTAATAAACAAAAGAAAAAATACAAAATAATAAAAAAAGAAAAACAAGCAGGTGGGACTGGATGAACCCCAGGCAAGAGCCCACAGCCAGCCCTGCTACTCTGCTGCCATCTTGGACAGCCTTTTACATTGTCTCTCCATCTTCTGCCTACCAAACTGAATCACTTTCAAATTTCTCTGCATTGAACTTCATCTGCCACCTCCCACCCATTCTGCCAACGTATCTATGTCTTATCGATTTTCTCCAGTTTAGATAGTTTAAACATTGCATCATCTACAAAGTTCAAATGTACACCAAGATGTAGATCATTAAAATAAATCAGAAAAAGCAAGGGACGTAAAACTGACTACTGGGGAACAGCACTACAAACCTCACAGGTCAAGGAACATCTATTAAGCATTACTCTGTTTTCTATCCCTCAGTCAATTTAATATCCATGCGGTTGCTGCTTTTTTTTAGTCCATGAGCTATTATTTTACTCAAAAGTCACTTCAGTCAGTGTGGCACTATATCAAACATTTTGGAAATCCCATACGCCACATCAAAAGCATTGCTCTCTTCAATCCTTTTGGATACCTCTTCAAAAGAAGTTTAGCAAATTGATTATACACAAAGTACTCTTAAGAAAACATGCTCATTCTCTACAATTAATCTACCTTGTCCATGCCGTTATTAATTTTATATTGAATTACTGTTTCTAGAAGTTTTCACAATTTTACCTGACTGACTTGTAACTGTGGCAAGTCATCTGACAAAGCCTGGCACCTAGCATCGGACTTGTCCTAAACTACCACTCAAATAACCGATCTAACTGATCCAGAAAGTTACTACAACTCATTGGTCACCTCCAGAAACTTGTTAAGTTTGGCTAACCCATTGCAAAAGAATACTTCAGTGGCCGTGAAATGTTTTGTTATGTCTCGAGTTCTGTGATATAAACCCAACTGTCCTATTTTTTCCCCTCTCTAGATTGCAGTCAAGGTCTCAATGCAAGAGCCCATTGGGCTAATCAAATTGGCTACTTAAGCACAGGCATGGGATTATGTTAATACACTACAGAAGCCAAAATGTTTACGATACAATGCACATGATCATCAAGGATCACGTGGGAGCAAAATAAAGTTTACTGATACCAAATATACCAGCAAAACTCCTTTTAGTAGTTATTTTTGAAGTGCTGTTACTGCGATGTAGATAAATGTGAAGAAATGAGCTGTGCATCAAGAATCATACGGGTACTTGAAATACCATACAGGTACATGAAATACATTACGGCTCTGTTTTGCTCTAAAAGTAGGTACATATTTTCAGAACGGTTGCACTTACACTCTGTGATGACTTATTTTAGTGTGCTCATTAATTTTTATTTAGCCAGTGTAAGCTTTGGCTCAGGAAGGAACAATTGTGGGGATCCCAGAATCGTAACGAATGTGCATCAAAAAGTGTTAATGTGTTCAATTTTTGCTGCCATTGTTGGCATCAGAAGTAACCAGTAATTTGAAACAAACTGCGATCAACATTTCCCCTTCCACAGTAATTAGATCTACGTGATACCAATGGTCAAAGTGATGGGCATAGGTAATAGAGGTCGGAGAAACTTGGGTTGTTCTCATTGGAATGACAGAGGTCGAGGGGAGGCCTGATAGAGGTCGACATGATTATGAAGAGCGTGAACAGACTGGACAGTCAGAAGCTTTTTCCCTAGGATGGAAGAGTCAGCTACCAGGGGCCACGGGTTTAAGGTGCAAGGGGCAACGTTTACAGGTGATGTACAAGGCAAGCTTTTTTACACAGAGGGTGGTAGGTGCCTGAAACTCGCTGCCGGGGGAGATAGTGGAAGCAGATACTATAGTGACTTTTAAAGGGCATCTTGACAAATATATAAATAGGATGGGAATAGAGGGATACGGTCCCCGGAAGGGTAGGGGGTTTTAACTGTGACGGGCAGCATGCCGGTGGAGGGCCGAAGGGCCTGTTCCTGTACTGTAATTTTCTTTGTTCTGGTTCTTTTGACAAGGCCGGCAGTGAGCAAATACAATATCAGGAAAGTGTTTGAGGGTAATGTAGTTGATGTGACGAACATAGGGAAATTTGAAATGTAAAAGGACTAAGAACATGACGATCAGACAGCATCTGATAATTGATACCAAGCTGACGAATGACAGGAAACAAGCAGTGAACAGTTTTTTTTGGCAAACTAGAACCAGGTACACAGTGGTTTTGGGACCACTGCTTTTCTGGATGTATTTTAGCAGTCTAGACTTGGTGTTCAGGGCACAAGTTCAAAGATTTCCAGATGTAGTTTGGAGAAAGTTGATGAGAAAAATCTGCAAGTGGGAGAAAGATCAGGTCGACAACCCCAACCGAGCACTAACTTTCAGCGAAACGCACTTACTGTACGTAGGCTCTGCTGCAGAAACACTGGATCTGTTCCATCTCATCACTGAAACCTTCTAGAAAGAGGAAGATTTCCGCCACCATGCTCGAGTTCTCACACATGTTGTCTATCATCTCAATACCGAACAACCTTATTCCGTCTATCTAATCAGCGGCATAACGAACTTCCAACGAAGTCAAGTCTGCAGCGTATTACAGTTTCCGGTACGTGAAGTCAGATTTTTCAAAAGCCGACCCACCTCACCGGAAGTGCCTTGTGCGCTCCCTGGCGGTACCAGAGGGAGTGGCCACTTATGTAGGAAGTGGGAATTAAGAAGGAGGCCCCGAATCCAGTAGACGGGGATGGTCTTTTTAGCAATAAATTAGCGATTGGTGAATGACGGAACAGTTGATCGGGGAAACAGCGTTGGAGGGTGAGTGAGTGAGGTGGGGTGCATCAAGGGCAGAGGATGGGCGTGAGGAAGGCAGAGGTAGATCAGACCAGAACGGGAAGGTCTTTTTCATGTTTTACTAGGAAGGCTTTCACTAACTATTCTGTACAAATAGCGACAGATGGACCAAGTGATTGTCTGCCTAAGTTTGTCTCCCTTTTGCTTTGAAGTATGACCGGAGCAAAAAAAAGTGCATCACCTTCTCACATTACAGTAATATCCGATAAGAGACCAAAGATAAATAAGGGCTTAATCTTGTCCGGGGATTCTCTATATTTTGTTCACTAAGATTCTAGCAGTATCTGCAATGCGAATTTGACCAATACTTAATTAAAAGGGTGTTTTGGAAAAAAAACATGTTTTGCCGAATTAGGACTTAATGGGTCAGATCTCCCTCAGGAATAATTTAAAAATTGTATATTAGTGTACACAGACCTGAAATTTTACATATTAGAGCAATGATTATGCCATTTTTATTTATCCAATAATGTAGTGTAATCTTAAAGCACTTGTGGACTCACTATGCTGGCAAGGGATAGAATCAGAGTTTTGCAAGAAAGGTAAGTTGGCATTACTAATGAATATGAAAGTTATTTTGAAACTGACTTCTCTGTTGAAAAATAAACTGCTTTTTTGACCGTCTCACACTGTCATATGCTCGCTGAAAGTGATTATAAAAGATTGAATACATGTACGGACAGATTCTAGAACAGCTTCTTTCTCGCTGTTATCAAACTTTTGAACAGACCTCTCATATGTTAGTCAGAAACAAAAACAGAAGTTGCTGGAAAAACTCAGCAGGTCTGGCAGCATCTGTGAAGAGAAATCAGAGCTAACGTTTTGGGACCGGCGACACTTGATCAGAAGGACCCAAAATGTTAACTCTGATTTCTCTTTACAGATGCCACACCAGCTGAGCTTTTCCAGCAATTTCTGTTTTTGTTTCTGATTTACAGCATCCACTGTTCTTTTGTTTTTTATCCTCGTATGTTAATGTTGATGTCTCTCTCTGCAGCTTCTTTGTGCTGTAACACTGTATACTGCACTCTGTTCTGCTACCTGATTGTATGATCTGCCTGTATAGCATGCAGAGCAACACTTTTCACTGTATCTTGATACATATGACAAGAATAAATCAAATTCAAACTATTTCTGGAACAATGGTTATGGAGACAGCCTCCCAGCTACTCTCAGATATTTTGGACTTGTATTTAGAAACATTGTGTTGATGCCCTCCTTGGGGAGAAAATGTGGCAAAAAAAGACTGAACCAAAAAGAAGTTTTGCTTCGTTGTCTGTATTATTAAGTTCCAATTAAGATCTTTTGGGATTTGTTCAGCTTGTATTGCAAGGACTTAGATTTATGGAGCTACAATTAGCATATCTTTAAAATTCAGTTGATATCTGACAAAGTTGTTCAGCAAATCAATGCCTTAATAATACACTCTTTCTGATGTTTAATACCTTGGCTTTGAACCATATGCTGTGAGGAAATATATCTAACATAGTGGAGTGGAACAGTGAAGATTCTCTCCTATGAGAAGCTGAGTGAATTGGTTCAATATAATGTGGAGCTGGAGAAACACAGCAGGTCAGGCAGCATCAGAGGAGCATCCTCTGGTTTACACCCATCATCCCCTGAAACGTCAACTTTCCTGCTCCTCTGATGATGCCTGACCTGCTGTGTTCCTCCAGCTCCACGCCATATTGACTCTGACTCCAGCATCTGCAGTTCTTGGTATCTCTGAATTGGTTTTGTGGTCTTAGTTCAAAAGAAAGAAGATGGTCTTATTGAAAGGTTTAAGGTTCTCAAGGGGCTTGACCTCACTCAGCCCCTTTCCAATCCAGTCCTGGGGGGTTGTGACCCACAGTTTCTAAAACCTGTTCTGTTATTCATGGGTTTTTGTTCAGTTACTTTGCCCTGTGGAACTGGTCCTTAAATCTTTCTGCTTTGCCACATTCTCTTCCATAAGTTTTGTTTACTTTTTTCATACATTCCCGAAATCATTTATTCTGTACATGTAGCTAAACATGATTTTTAGTTCAATTTAGTTAACTCCTTTCTGCCGCTGTTTATTTCCTGAATCCAGACACATGGATAAGAGAGGCCTCCAGAAACAAATCCTAGATCTAGCTGGCATCGACCATCATATTTCTTTATGATTAGTAAATAATAATTTCATTTTATTTGCTAAGTAATATGTGCTGTCTGAAAGTGTTTACAGTAAGTTGCACAATCTTGACATTAATTTTTGGAGCTAACGGCCTCTTTGCTGAGGAGATGCAGTGATAGTCTCGACTTCCATCTGGACATGTTGAAAACTTAATGGTTGGCACTTTTGCAGTTGCTGTTTCTCCAGTTTACATGAGCTTGGACCAGAGATTCCCACGAGTTGGTGAGGATGTTGCATTTTTTTTCAAGGCGGCTTTGAGGACATCCTTGAAATGTCTTCTCTTCTCTCCTGGTAAACGCTTACCATGACTGACCTCCGAGTAGAGAACTCATTTTGGAAGTCTTGTCAGACAAGTGGACAACATGGCCTGCCTCTTGATGGTCAGAATCTGCATTATGACTGTTAGGCGCTGTTCAACTCCTGGGAGGAGGTAATTGAGGAGGGTTTTTGCAATGATCTTCTCAGCGGTGCACTTGAAAATAATTACAGTTACAATTTCTTGGAGGTTTGCTGGCATGATCTCCTTAGAGATGAAGGAGATGAAGTCATGTATTTAGCTAGGAATAGTGGCATGCTTCGAGACATTGTCAGTGGTACCCATATTGAGGAGATCCTTGTCGTGTTCCTTCCAATAAGGACTGGCTGCCTCTCTGTTTGATGAGTACCACTCCTTTCTTTGCTCTCAGTGAGGTAGGTGTTTGAGCCATAGGTGATTTTGATTGAAGAATTAAAACAAGTCATTGTTAGTGAGTTGCTAGATTTCCTGCATTCTTTCCACCCACCACCCATTCTTTCAGTCGTGGGATTTTGTTGGATCTCAGCATTCATTTGCTTGTAGAATGTTTTTCTTTTCTTTGAGTTCTGATGCGCTTTCACGTCAGGAATACCTTGCACTTGCAATTTAGTAGTTTACTGGATCTCCTGCTAATTCTTGTCTTGATGTAACCTAGTAGAGAAACCTACAGTCTCTTTTTAAGTGCTATTTATGATGAATTTAAGAACAGACCAGGCAGTGTGGACATTCTGTCTGCATCCTGTTTTTTGTGCATTGTAAGGTTGGCTGTGTGACACTAAGTAGGTGTTTCTTCGTAGAGCCTCAAGTTTAATGACATGAATTTCCTGCGGCTTGCACCTTGTCTTCCTATGGGGAACGGGACAATGACAGATCAAGTTTGAAGTGGAATTCCTCTTTGGCCTCTCATCACACATGGATGATGAGTGAAAACAAAGAACTGTGGATACTGGAGATCTAAAACAAAGTTCAGTTCTAAAAGAAGGGTCACTGGACTCAAAATATTAATTCTCTCTTCTTTCCACAGACGCTGCTACACCTGCTGAGTTTCTTAACAATTTATGTTTTCATCTGAATGATTGGTGTACTGCTTCTGAGTAAGAGTGAGCTGAAAGACTTTGATTTATCCCACAGAGGAGGCTAGCTGAGATGGTCAGCTGGTTCACATTTGCTAGTGAAAGCAGACTATTGGAATTGACATTCTTCCTCAGAGTTACCCTTTCTGAGCGTGTGTTTGCCATGCTTATCTTTGAGTTGACCTCTCCTGTCATTGTGATTTCACGATCATAGCATTGGAGTTCCTGGGTTTTGATAGCAGTAAGGCATTCAGGTCTGTCGCTTCTGTGGTTGTCCATGTTGTTTCAGATCCAAGACCCTAGTTTTTAAAGGGATGGAAGATGCCTATGCCAAATTCTTCTTGCGTGACAAAGTCATTGCTCACCAACTACTATGCAGTCCTGGTGGAGCAAGGTCTTTGTCCATTGGTGGGAATAGGTAAGATGATTGGAGATCAGGCTCTGCAGCATAGAAATGAATGCACACACGTCACCTCTTGACAATCCTGCCCTATCCTAAAGCCACTTGAGCCAAGTGCTGGAAAATGAGGTTAGAACAGTTAGGTGGTTGTTTTTGACAGGTGCAGACTCAATGTGCTGAACGGTCTGTTTCTGTGTTGTAGACCTCTGTGACTCTAAGCCTATAGTATTGCTTACTTGTGGGTCACCATAGGAGCAGAGAAGGTACTCTATATCCATCAGCCCATGTCAGATCAGCAAAGACTCATTCCTGCCCAAGTGGAAGGCTGTGTCCTTCACAAATGTTCGGTCAGATTCTCTCCCTGTGCTGCTGCCAGTTTAGTTGCTGACAGCACATTTTCTTGGCCTCCAACGGACTGGTTTAGACTGTTTTCGCCGCTCCTCATTCCGATGGGAGGAAAGCTATGGAATGAAATTGATATGGGGATACAAATTCACAAGTTTATAACTAATATCTCAGCCAAAATAAAATTCTAAAATGTAAACTGATGCAATTCTTAATTTATCCTGTCCCACCCGCAGGACAGACCCAGCAGAGGGGGCGGCACAGTGGTATACAGTCGGGAGGGTGTTGCTCTAGGAGTCCTCAACATTGAATCTGGACCCCATGAAGTCTCATGGCTTCAGGTTAAACATGGGCAAGAAAACTTCCTGCTGATTATCATGTACCGTCTTCCCTCAGCTTATGAATCAGTACTGCTCTGTTGAACAACACTTACAGGAAGCACTTAGGATGGCAAGGGCACAAAATGTACTCTGAGTGGGGCAATTCAAAGTCCACCACCAAGAGTGGCTCGGCAGCAATGCTACTGTTCGAGCTGGTCGGTTCCTAAAGGACTTAGCTGCTAGATTGGGTCTGCGGCAAGTGGTGAGGGAACCAACAAGAGGGAAAAACATACTTGACCTCATCCTTACTAATCTGCCAGTTGCAGTTGCATCTGTCCATGACAGTATCGGTAAGAGTGACCATCGCACAGTCCTTGTGGAGACGAAGTCCCGCCTTCACATTGAGAACAACGTCCATCATGTTGTGTGGCACTATCACCGTGCTAAATGGGAGAGACTTCGCACAGCTCTAGCAACTCAAGACTGGGCTGTGGGCCATCAACAGCAACAGAATTGTATTCCAGCACAACCTGTAACCTCATGGCCTAGCATATCCCCCACTCAACCATTACCCTCAAGCCAGGGGATCAACCCTGGTTGAATGGAGAGTGCAGAAGGGTATGCCAGGAACAGCACCAGGCATACCCGAAGATGAGGTATCATCCTGGTGAAACCACCAAGCAGGACGACTTGCATGCCAACAGCGAAAGCAGCAAGTGATAGACAGAGCTAAGCGATCCCACGACCAACGGATCAGATCTAAGCTCTGCAGTCCTGCCACATCCAGTCGTGAATGGTGATGGACAATTAAACAACTCACTGGAGGAGGAGACTCCACAAATATCCCCATCCTCAATGATGAAAGAGCCCAGCACATCAGTGCAAAAGATAAGGCTGAAGCATTCGCAGCAATCTTCAGCCAGAAGTGCCGAGCGGATGATCCATCTCGGCCTCCTCCAGCGGTCTCCAGCACTACAGACCCCAGTCTTCAGTCAATTCAATTCACTCTATGTAATATCAATAAATGGTTAGAGACATTGGATACTGCAAAGGCTATGGGCCCTGACAACATTCCGGCAATAGTACTGAAGACTTGTGCTCCAGAACTTGCCGCTCCCCTAGCCAAGCTGTTCCAGTACAGTTACAACACTGGTATCTACCGACAATGTGGAAAATTGCCCAAGTATGTCCTGTACACAAAAACCCGGCCAATTACCACCCCATCAATCCGTCAGTAAAGTGATAGAAGGTGTCATCAACCGCGCTATCAAGCAGCACGTGCTCAGAAATAAACTGATCAGTGATGCCCAGTTTGCGTTCTGCCAGGGCCACTTAGCTCCAGACCTCATTACAGCCTTGGTTCAAACAAGGACAAAAGAGCTGAATTCCAGAGCTGAGGTGAGTGTGACAGCCCTTGATATCAAGGCTGCATTCAACTGAGTGTCGCATTAAGGAGCCCTAGCAAAACTGATACCAGTGGGTAGGGGGGGGGGGGGGGGAAGAGACTTTCTGGTGGTTGGAGTCCTACCTGACACATGGGAAGATGGTCGTAGTTGTTGGAGGTCAATCACCTCAGCTCCAGGACATCTCTGCAGGAGTTCCTCAGGGTAGTGTCCTAGGCCCAACCATCTTCAGCTGCTTCATCAATGACCTTCCCTCTATCATAAGGTCAGAAGTGGGAATGTTCGCCGATGATTGCACAATGTTCAGCACCATTTGTGACTCCTCGGATGCTGAAGCAGTCCATGTTCAAATGCAACAAGATCTGGACATTATCCAGGCTTGGGCTGACAAGCGACAATTGACATTCATGCCACACAAATGTCAGGCTATGACCATCACCAATAAGAGACAATTAACCACCACCCCTTGACATTCAGTGGTGTTACCATCACTGAATCCCCCACTATCAACACCCTGGGTGTTATCATTGACCAGAGACTCAACCGGCTTCACCACAGTGGCTACAAGAGCAGGCCTGTAGCTAGGAATACTGTGGCAAGTAACTCACCTCCTGACTCCTCAAAGCTTGTCCACCATCTACAAGGCACAAGTCAGAAGTAATGGAATACTCCTCACTTGCCTGGATGAGTGTAGCCCCAACAACACTCTAGAAGCTTGACACCATCCAGGACAAAGCACCCCGCTTGATTGAAACTACATCGATAAGCATCCACTCCCTCCACCACGGATGCTCAATAGCAGCAGTGTGTAGTATCTACAAGATGCGCTGCAGAACTTCACCAAAGATCCTCAGATAGCACCTTCCAAACCCATGACCACTTCCATCTAGAAGGACAAGGGCAGCAGACATATGGAAACACCACCATTTCCAAGTTCCCCTCCAAGCCACTCACCATCCTGACTTGGAAATATATAGCCATTCCTTCACTGTTGCTGGGTCAAAATCCCAGAATTCCCTCCCTAATAGCATTGTGAGTCAACCTACAGCAGGAGGACTGCAGCAGTTCAAGAAGGCAGCTCATCACCACCTTCTCAAGGGCAGCTAGGGATGGGCAAGAAATGCTGGCCAGCCAGCGATGCCCACATTCCACAAATGAATAGAAAAAAACTCAAAAGGTATAATTTATGAATACCAACAGCTAATGGTGAGCAGATCTGCTACTTTTACAATGCCTAGAAAAGAGAATTGTGTGTATATTCTGTACAAGATATCAAGTCGTTCGAGAAGGTAAAATTCAGATTGACTAGGTTGCTAAGAGCAAAGACTAGTCTTTTTTTCCCAATGAGAACATTTAGGTTATGAAAATTGTAGAACTGTACAAATTAGAAAAAATGAGCTGGGGAGATTTCGGGGGGAAATTATTTCAATAGTTGGGTCTTGAACGTGAAGCATAAGTACAAAGTTAAATAAGATATTTTAAAGCAGAGTAGAAGAAACATTTTACATTGAAAATTGAGAGGATATAGAATTACATCAACAAAATTAGTCTAAATAGCTGAATGAAGGCAAAAGAGTTCAGCAAATATAGGAAAATGGTAGCTAAGAGTGGATAGAATTATTTTCTTGCTCAGAGGTAAAGTACCAACAAACTAATTTTAGTGGCCTATTTGAGTTGCAATTTCTACAGATAAGGTTTGCAATATTTTTGAAAGTCTGTCCTTTTTGTAAACTGTGAATGAATTGTGGCAAGATTGACATTCTTGACCTTTCTAATGTTAAGTGTGTGTGATTCAAATCAGCACTACCATTGTCATGACCTTAAAATATTACTTTAAACTATTTTATCATGCTGGCATGTATTTAGTTGTGGCAGTGTAAATGTTTGTATTTCTTACAATTGTGCTGTTGATCAAAATTATTAAGACATTTAGAAATAGGATCAGGAATAAGCCATTCAACTCTTGAACCTGTTTTGCCATTCAATAGCTCATAGCTGATCGGACATTCTTCATGACCACTTTCCTGCATTTTCCCTGTAATTCTTGATTTTCCCCTACTGATCAAGAATCTGTCTCCACCTTAAAGATACACAGGGGGTCTGCCCCCACAGCTCTCTGTAGCAAGGAGTTCCAAAGATTCTCAACCCTATAAGAGACGAAATTCCTCCTCATCTCAGTCTTAACTTGGCATCCCTTTATTCTGAGACTATGCCCTCTGGTCCTAGACTGTCCCATGACTGGAAACATCCAGTCAACATTTACCCTGGCAAGCTCCTTAAAAGCCTATGGTTTCAGTGAGATCACCTCTCATTCTTCTAAATTCCAATGTCCCAACCTGTTTGACTTTTGCTCATAAGACAATCCCTCCATGCCAGTGATCATCTTAGTGAATCTTCTCTGAACAGTCTCCAATGAAATGATACCCTTTCTGAAATAAGGGGACCAAAACTGCTCTTAGTACTCCAGATGTGCTCTCAGCAGCATCTTATATGGTTGCGGTAAGACTTCCCCACTCCTTACCTGCTGCACCTGTGTGCTAGCTTTCTGTTTCATGCATAAATATCCCTAAGTCCCTTTTGCATTGCTGCTTTCTTCTTCGTTTAGCTAATACTCTGTTCTTTTGTTCTCCCTTCCAAAGTGCACAACTTCACATTTTCCCACATTATACTCCATTCAGATATCAGATTAGATATGGGAGTGCAGTATTTTATGATTAGCCTCCACATTTTTGGCCCTAAAATCTAGTTATAATCCCACTAGTTACTAAATAATATTGTCTTGTTAAGATTTGTGATTACTTATGTTATTAGTTATCCTGTCTCTAATTAGTCTTAATGTTTTAAATTGCTGAGATAGTAACACTACTCTTTTTTTTCCCTACAGTTGACAAGAACTCTGTTTTTGTCTTATGTGAATACTGCTGTACCTGTCATAATGACCCCCAAACTCTGTCTCTGTACTGCTGTTTGATAATGTTGGTTTGGTATGGCTACTACTGACGAATCCTATGTGGAAGGACAAAATGGGAGTTTAGTGTCTTACATGATTGACATAGTGGAAAAGTGGACCGGCTTGGAAATTTTGGAAGGTTCCCTGAATTACTTGGACTACCTTCTGTGGGTTTTCACTCCCCTCATCATTGTGTTCATTTTGCCATTGTTTATTATTCTGTTCCTATACCTTTCCATTCTTTTTCTACACGTGTACAAAAGAAAGAGAGAACTGAAAGTAGCTTATTCGAATAATGTTTGGGATGGAGCACGGAAGACTTTGGCAACCCTGTGGGATGGCCATGCAACGATATGGCATGGTAAGTAGCATTCTTTCTGAATATAATTCATCTTATTATGCTCTTGAGCATAGCCATTAAGTATTATAGTTAACAGAAATCAGTGAGGAAATGTTGAGCAAGTTTTGTTTTGAAAAGGAATTTCCAGTTGACCCAAACTAAAATTTTTAAATTGTGAAGGTGCTAACAAAGGTGATGCATGGAAAAAAGTTCCAAGACTGGATGAAAATTGAAAGTTAAGTTCTCATTTAAGGAAACATTCAGAGGGATTTATTTTTCATCAAAACAGTAATGGATTTCTGAATCAAGATGCCAAGGCAGATTATTTAATCAAACTTAACTTTCGTTGGTAGTGAAAATACTTCATAAGCAATAAACTTGACCTTGTACCTGTGACATCTGGGTAAATTAATTATAGTCTGGAAAACTGTTCATGTGTGATGAAATGATTCTGAAGTGGTAGAAAATATTTTATTAAACATGTTAGTCTATTAGTTTTGAAATATAAATTGCCATATTAGGTGTGACTGTCTTAAGTATACAGAACATTATCTGACAATGTTTGGTAATTTGTAAGAGCTGGTCACTAATTAGACTAACTTTCTGATTTCATTCCCTCCATTCCTCTTGACAACACTTGTGTTTTGTTAAATAGCCTGCCTTGGTTATCTTACTTCAGATATCCATTTCCTGTTATTGGGAAGCAATCTCCTAAATTCCTTGTTAATCTAAACTTCTTAATTTTTAGTATTAATTCAGTATTTGTGTTTTCTTTTGCATGCACCAACTTAATCAACGTCTTTCAATTTTCAAACCCTTTGTTTCGGGTCTCGTGAATTCCTCTCATTCTCAAAGAATAGACCAACAATTCCTCATTAATAACTGAAAGCTGCAGTCATTGTTATGCTCACTATAATATCCCTCTATCAAATCGGTAACTGGAAATTGCATAGTTTGACAATCTGCAGCTCAATACTGCGGTGACAGTTCCATAGAATCATCCACAGCAACCCAAAACCTTTTTCCTGGTCAGGTCATATGCAAGCCTTCCATTTGATGTGTGGCCTATTCACTCTTGCTGTCACATTAATGATTCAGTTTGGATGAATATTATGTTTGGCTTTTCAGCCAATTATTTAAAATTCCAAATACTCTGAATTTGGTTTCATTTTTCACGATTTACACTGCATTATTTTGCTATTACTGGCAGCTTTGGATGAATGTATCTAAAAATAGAAGCAGTGCCAGAACTGAACCATAAGATGTGTTGCTCTAACCTCTTTGCAAATTTAAATATTTCCTATTCTTAGGCCTATTATCTATCCAGTTTCATATTTTAAGTACTGTTTCATGCCTCTTATTGCTGCATTGTCAAAGCTGTTTCATTTGAATGAGCTGTCGAACTTAAGACAATATCCCTCTATTTGGGCAGATTGCATAGCATTATTCAAAGTAGGGCAATTGGTTATTCCAGTGTGCTAACCTGCTTTCATTTGTCAAGTATCCTCACCAAAAGGGCTTCATCACTTTTCCAACTTTGCTTATGAGATCTTGTCCTGGTTTAGAAAATCTGATCCAAAAAAATGTATTTGCTATGTTCCAATTTTCCCGTGTGATCTAAAACAATGGAGGATCCTTCAAAACTGACTCAGTACAGCAAGCTTTGGAGAGAGAAAAATCTACATCGAAATCGTGCCCCTTTTTTTACAAGCACTAGTTATACCACATTCCAGTAAGTAAAGAGTTTAAATGTTCCAAAGCTTGTTTGAAAAACCACAAAGAGAAGATATGGGGAGGCAATTTTAGTTAATTTGATTGAAGAATTCAGCAATAATATTCTGAATTAACAATCTGCTACCATAAAGCTTATGATTTGCTGCCTCATGACAGAAAAAGTACCAATTGAAATCTAGACTGTTGGCCTATTTAAAAGATAACTGATTATGTGCTGCAGTACATCATGTTTAGTGGTTAAGGTGTTGTCAGGTCAGGGGCTAGCTGGTGCAGTCGTAGGGAGTTGGCTAGTGGCATTGGTTCAGGTTAGTTGAGCGGAACCGTCCAAAGTATCCATCTCTAGCTCAAAGTGGAAGACTTGTTTGGTGCCCGTGTCTCCAGGAACTTGGGACAAACATTTAGATTTCCTGGGCAACTCCCTTGGAGTTAATATATTTTTTTGAGGGGCACTGTGTCAAACTTCTCGGTTATCCCCTGTCTCTGACGATCTGAAGACTTGAAGATCTGGACCTTTGTGTGCAACTAGGTGCTACTTAGAATATACAGAGTACAGATATTTTGGGTGTCCTGGCAATTGGTGTCACAATGAAGCAGTCTGGAAAGGATATCCTGCTTGTTGGGAAGAATCAGTGTGTGATATCGTAAGTAAAAGGGGATGGTCTTAGCATCTTGCAGGAGTTGAGGCTCCAAAAGAGAGAGCTGATTGATAAGTCTAGGTAAAAGTTTCAACCTTATCACTTACAGTTTGTAAGGTCCTTTTGTGGTTTATATTTTCTAAGGGTTGTATTCTGTCATAACAAGAAACAGGAAAGAAGATTATTTGACAGTAAGCATCTTCCAAAAGGTTTCATTTAAAGGGGTAAGTCAAAGTTGTGTTGTGCTTCTGCTGCTCTATGTGGGAAGCAAGGCACATTTCTGGTGCCTGGGACCAGCATGTATGCAGGAAGTTTCTCCACCTGCAGCTCCTGGCTTCGGAGCTGGAGTGGAGACACTGTGGAGCATCCACAAAGCTGAGAGAATTGTGGATAGCACATATTGAGAGGTGGTCACGCAGCAGGCTAAGACTCCACAGGGAGAGCGGGAGTAGGTGACCAGTTATTGTGCACCATCAGTAAGACGACTAGGCAGGCAGTGCAGGAATCCCCTGTGGTCATTCCCCTGAAACATGGATATACTGCATTGAATACTGTTGAGGGAAATGACCTTTCAAGGGATAACAGCAACAGCCTATTTGTGGCAGCACGGTTGGCTGTCCTGTGCAAAGGAGGAGCAAAAAAGTGTGGAAATGAAATAGTCATAAAGGATTCAGTTGTAAGGGGAATAGATAAGTGTTTTTGTGACCACAAACAAAACTCCAAGATGGTCTATATGACATCCTGGAAGGGGAGGGTGAGCAACCAGCGATCGTGGTACACATTGGTGCCAACAACTTAGGTTTAAAGAAAGGATAAGATCCTAAAAGCAGAATGTAGAGAGCTAAGGAGCAAGCTAAAAAATAGAACCTTAAAGATAGCAACCTCAGGATTACTACCAGTGCCGTGTGCTAGTCATAGTAGAAATAGCAGGATATCTAAGATGAACAGCAGCCAAAGAGATGACGCAAAATGGAGGGTTTCATTTTCCTGGGACATTCGGACCGGTTCTGAGGGAAGTTGGGCAAAATCAAACTGGTTACGATACTGTAGTGGAGGAATTCCTGGATTGTACATGAGAGAGTTTTCTGGGCCAATATGTTGAGGAACCAACTAGAAAATAGGCTATCTTTGACTGGGTATTACCGTGGGGGCAGCACAGTGGCTCAGTGGTTAGCACTGTTGCCTCACAGTGCTAGGGACCTGGGTTTGATTCCACCCTCAGGTGACTGTCTGTGTGGAGTTTGCACATTTTCCCCATGTCTGCATGGGTTTCCTCCAGGTGGTCCGATTTCCTCCCACAGTCCAAAGATGTGCAGGCTAGGTGGATTGACCATGCTAAATTGTCCAGAGTGTTCAGGGATATGTAGGTTAGGTGGATTATATGGGGATGGGTCTGGGTGGGATGCTCTGAGGGTTGGTATGGACTTGTTGGGCTGAAGGGCCTGTTTCCACACTGTAGGGATTCTATCAATAATTAGTTAATTATGTAGTTTTGAGAGACCACTTGGGAATGACTAACCATGATAGAATTCTGCATTTGTTTGTTAGCTCACCGAGCCAGTTGTTCTGTGGTGTGCAGAAGTTTCGTTTCCCGTCTAGGCACCATCAGTGTGATCTCTAATTGAAGTGTTGGTGTTCTGCTTCCATCCGGATTTATATGATGATGTGGTGGTCTTGTCGCTTCCGGTTTTGTTGTTTTAGCAGCGGTCTGTATACAGGATCTATTCCTGTGCGTTTGTTAATGGAGTCCCGTGTTGAGAACCAGGCTTCCAGAATTTACTTTGCATGTCTGGTGTTTGCGAGTCCCAGTATGGTTACTTTGTCCCATTCAAACTGATGGTCCTCATTGTGTGCATTGAGACAAGTCACTATGACTTAGTGTTCAAATTTAAACAGTATCTAGAACATGTAAAATTGCCACAGTCTTACCAGACTATAGGACTCATCAGTCATTACCTGAGAGTCGGGTACATTACGTGAAGAAGTGACTTGCAACCATGTCTCATTGTGGGCAAATATGGCTGTAATTTTGAGTGACTTGTATTTCTATTGTGTCTTAGCAGCAGGAACATTTTGACACTACTTTACAAATAGCTATAAAGAAAATGGATTCCAGGCTGTCAGGGAAAGTTTGACGGTAGTAATGAGCTTGGCCAAAAAGCTTGATCTTTACAAGATTGTCAGAAAGGCAGAGAGTGGTTTTGATCAGCAGTTATAAAGGATAAGGTCAAGGCAGTTGAAAGCTCCCTCATTCATGTTGGTATATTGGAGCAGTGGGGCATACAGTAGTACACAAAATTTTGCAGTCAAAATGATGAAAGGATATAGGCCCTGAGGAAACTGCAGTTAAATGGCAGAATTTGCAAAACGAGTGAATATTTAAAATGTGATAAGGGTGGGGAGGCATCGTAACAGACTGAGAAAGTGAGACTTGGTATCAGATGGTTCATGTGCAGCAGAGTTGTGAATAAGTTGGCATTTATGGAGGGAGATTGAAAAGAGACCAGTAAACAGAACACTGAAAAATCAACATGAAAGCTGAAATTGCTGAAAATACTCGGTAGGCTATCATAGCATCTGTGAAGAGAAACTGTTCTGGTCTATGTAAATGATTTGGAGGAAAACGTGGCTGGTCATATTTGTTTATTTGTG